GTAGAGATGAGGTCTCACCAAGTTGCCCGGGCGGGTCTCGAACCCAGGGGCTCAGGCAATCCACTCACCTCAGCCTCCCAAAGCGTGTGATTACAGGCTGAGCCACTGAGCCTGGCTATAAATTTCTGAGTCACAGTCTCACTCTGTCACCCAGGCTGGAGTGCAATGGTACACTCACAGACACCACAGCCTTAACCAGCTGGGCTCAGGCAATCCTTCCATCTCAGCCTTCCAAGGAGCTGGAACCACAGGTGCATGCCACCACTTGGCTAGTTTTTTGATTTATTGGAGAGATGAGATCTTGTCAATTTGCCAGGCTGGTCTCAAATCTGTGGGCTCAGGCAATCCTATAACCTCGGTCTCCCAAAGTGCTGGGATTATTAGGCATGAGCCACCACACCTGGCCACAACATATTTTAAACTCTTTCCCACATGCCATAGAGATCTATTTCCAATGCCAAAGAACTGAGTTCAATATGGCCGGGCTCGGTGGCTCAGCCTGTAATCCCAGCACTTTGGGAGGCCGAGGTGAGTGAATCGCCTGAGCCCACGGGTTCGCGACCCGCCTGGGCAACTTGATGAGACCTCATCTCTACAATAAATCAAAAAATTAGCTGGGTGTGGTAGCACACGCCTGTAGTTCCAGTTACTTGGAAGGCTGAGGCGGAAGGATCGCAGGAACCCAGCAGGTCGAGGCTGCGGTGGCCGGGAGCGGCCACTGCACTCCAGTCTGAGTGACAGAGTGAGACTCTGACACACACACACACAAAAAGACTCATCTGCTTCCTTGGACACATACATAAACAGATAAGGGGAAGGACATTTGAGGAGGAAAAAAAGTCATGCCTTTTGTACCTAAAAAAAGAAAAACTTCCAGGATTTCAACTCCTTCCTGATTAAGTATCTTTCCGTTATGATGAAGACTTGTTTTTTTCAATTCAATTTCCTTCCCATTATCTATTGCTCTTATTTAAATCCGATCTTCTAATCAAACAAAATGTCATTCTTTACAGTTAGAATAAACACAACTAGTGTCACGTAAAAGCTAACACTTTCTAAGAGTTGCTTCTTGACCACAGACTACTTGGCTATCAGGAATGAAATTCTTAGCCAGGTGCAGTGACATGCACTTACAGTCCCAGCTACTTGGGAGGCTGAAGTGGGAGGATCACTTAAGCGTAAGGTTTGAAACTAGTCTGGGCAACATAACAAGATCCTGTCTCTAAGGAAAAAAAATGAACTTCCCTATTTCACTCTTCTACCAGACCACTTCCAAACAAAGCCAGATTTCAACTATGAAGATAAGGGGAAAACAGTCTATTTCTATTATCATACTATCTTTGGAAAACCCTGTTTCACTGATGTAGAGGAAACTGGAAATATTTTTAAATGCCCCAAAATAAAACGTTCCTTAACTACTCTTTTCTTTTCTGATCTTTATCCTTTTAAAAGTTATCTTTATGTATTCAAGATTAGATTTAACCCTCTAGTATAACAGAAATGGCATTGGGTAGTTTGCAACTTACATAAAATCCAACTTGGTTCAGAGGTAAATATGGTTCTGAGTAAAGAGAGAACAAATCATTAGAAAGCCTTTCTGCCTAAGTACAGCGTTACTGTCCATGCCAATGATGATGTACTTCATACTGGTATCCAGTTTCAGAGAGAATGAAAGGTATATGCTAGAATGAAAAGATTAATATATTGCCATCTCTCTTCTTTGTTGAGAATAGTGGATAGCTCCTTCAGTATCAAGTGTCACTCAATAAATGCAAACCTTACCAATGTTTGCAATTTCATGGCATTAAAGTACTTAATGATGATTTAGCTCTCACTGCTAATGCAGTTCCTTTCACAAAGTAACACGTGCAAGTAAGATTTGGTAGAGTTTTCAGCATCAGCTAAAGTTCATTTAGTGTATCTGTAAGAGGTATCCTCCATGCACACACCAATACAGGAATTCACTAATGTAGACAGAACAACACCAACTCTTATGACCCACCAGTAATGTTAGCTAAGATCTAAAATAATGTCACAGTGAATCTGCTCAGAACCTTGGATAGTTATTTAGAATAATTATATCTTCTCTAATTAAAATAGGGAAATTGTTTTCAGAAGCTTTAATGTATTTAAAAATTAGCCTGGCTTGTATTTACATGAATTTCATGGCTCTGGCTAGGGCAATTAAGAGAGAACCAGCAAACATGATTGTGCTGAAGTGGCCTTAGATGACCAGGAAGCACTCTATTCACAGTATATCAATACAGGAAAAAGCTATCAGAAGTGAATGAAAAGGGAGGGGGAACCACCACACATTCATAATATTTCCACGTGAATGAGACAGTTCCTACTTCATTTAAGATGTTTGTTGCTAACCCTAAGAGGCCACTGACAAATGCTGCAAAGTTTCTCTTTACAGAGATTGCTGTACTTTACTTTTAAAATTTGGTAATAGTTTAAAAAGCTCTATATTCTCATACATAATCTAAGAAACTAACAAAGCAATAAAAAACTCTCCAGCATACTACCTCTCAAAACTGGGATGGACTTAAGAGTTGTTTTTTTTTTTTTTGGTAGGCTTAGAAGCTCCCTCTAAAGCAGCTATTCTGTACTTCTCATCTCCCTGCCTCTCTAGTAAAGGTAAACTCTGTCCACCGAAAGTCTTGATACCAGCTGAGAATTTTGGTATTATTTCAACTGTACCTTTTCTATGCCACAGAGCACAACCAGTCCCTAAACACAGCTCCAGAAGATAGTATTACCCTATCATGCTGTTGCCCAACTAACAAGGAGGATTCCCAGGCCATGTCCCCTGAAGACAAAATACAGTTTCAACGCTGCCTTTGAGGGTAGGCTCTTATTAAATGGTAGCATGATTACATTCTCATAAAAGATAAATTTCTATGCTTTTCCAGAAAATAACCTTTCTCTAGTGATAGCATGCAGCTTTATGTACAGTTCTCAGATTGCTTAAGATCCTTTGCATTCTAATCTCTTATCTCAAAGAAATTACATTCCTTTCTACCCACCTTTTTGTGTCCTACAAAGCATTCAGGAAAGGAGCACGCAACGAACATTCTCACAAACGGCTCACCAGTGCAGGTATGACCTGCCCTTCTCCTAAATTTTTTATCATCATCTATGCCTCTGCACCAAAACTATTTCTTAAGCCATTACATAGTTAAAAAACAATTGGTGATCAATGGAAAGCAAGACTTTTTTCTATCTGTACTGTAAGTTATAAGAATCTATTTGCCTGCATCCCTTAATATTCCTCCATCCCTCTCAGCATGCAAGACAGGGCATCTAAAGCTCTACATGTTTGGTAGGTTCTTTCGCTGTGCTGGATTAAGAATCTTAGAAATACCCAGAACTGCTAAAAAGGTCCCTTGAAGTTTAAAAAATCTTAGGAATGATTAAGTAACCAAACCTGATCAAAACTGATCCTTTGATCATTTATTGCAACATGATTCTGCATGATGCTTTCTGGTAAGTGCCCTGTAGTGTATTATTAAAAAGCAAAGCTCTTAGAGTTACCAGCAATTTGCTGATGATTGGTTTATGAATTATTAGGTATGCCAAAGATTTCAATGAGGTTCCTCTATCTCACTGAAAATATAAATTACATATGTAGAAGGAAATGTGGTTTCAATTAAGAACCATACTGTTGAATTTCAACCACAATACTGCAGAAAAAAACACGTTTAAAACTTCATATAAAAGTTATCAAATATGGAGACCTATGGATTTAAAAATACACTCCAGGCTCATTTCACTGGAAAGTGATATTTTAGATGTACAATATTGCTGTATGTGAAACTAGGAGCCAAAGAGACTGGATGAAACTTTGGTAGTCAGCCTAGCATACTAAGTCATCTGAGCTAAATCATTTCCTAACATCCAAGGGGGTACAGCATTATGGTTTACAAATACTAGTCAGGAAGCTGCAGTACGACTCTATGCTGTTCGACATTTGCAAAACTTAAAACACTTCCTCTCCTGCTACTCCCTTTTTCAACATGACACTCAAGCCCCAGATGCAGCAGTACCTATTGCAAACATTTTACTTTCATTGCCTAAAGTGCATCAGATGATGCTGTCCACTAGAATACTGCTCCCAGATTGTATGAAACAAGGCAAAGTTTTAGCTGCCTAGTCAGGGCAAAGATAGTCTAACCTTTCAAAAACCGGTATGCATTTCTTTTTTCTTGAAATGTAAAAATGCATGTTCTGGCAGGGAAGGAAGAGGAAAAATTGCTCCTCCTCATCACCATGACTACCCTCGTCTCTTGTGGCTGACTGCTTCAGATGACCGAGGCTCCTGCTGCATTTTTAGACCTGGGCAATTACAGCCACCAAGATGATAATGGCCCAAAGTACAGAGTTCAAACATGAATAGCAGATAAATGATCATTGTTTTGTTAAAAAAATTTTTTTCTTATAAAGTTAACAAACCAAGGCTGTAGATCCCTGAATTAGAAGGTGATTTGCTTGATTATTTTCCAAAGTATGAGGCAGGAAGGAGGAGGGGGAAGAGCCTTTAGTGCTTTTGTATATGTTGCTGATCCTCTAGTCTGGAGACATCCTGGGAGCGCCTTCTGGTCTAGTAATGTGGCATTTTGTGAATCTAAGTACCAGTCCACAGCCCTGATGTTGGCTGCTTACGGCCCAAAGGGGAAGAGGGTCTGCCTCCTCCCCCTTGATGTTTCAATCTGGCCCGGTGGTGGACACAGAGCCCTGGGCAGTTTCCCCAGGAACAACTGTCTCTTCCTGTGAAGGTGACTCTTCCTCAGCTTGCCCTCGAGATGTGACAGTTGTTTCAGGAGAGATGCTGTGAGGCCCCTCCAGGGGTATACAGCCAGGGTGGTTTTTGCGAAAGTGCTGATTTAAGATGGCCTGGAAGGGGAAACTTTTGCCACAAACATGGCAATGAAAGGGCTTGTTGCCTGTGTGCTTGCGGATATGATACTCCAGCTGATCCTTCCGGGTATACTTCTTGCCACACATGCGGCAGACAAATGGTGTGATTCCCATATGCAGGCGCATATGGCGGTCTAGGCTTCCCTTTTGGTTGAAAGATTTGGCGCAGTAGATGCAGGTGAGACGAGGGTTGTACCGGAACCACCGTTCAGATACTTCCTGTTCTCGTAGATACTCCACATAGCCACTTACTCCCATCATTGCCGATTCTTCTACCTGTTCCAGATGAAGAAAATAAGCAAAAAAAGGCATATATTATTAAGCATAACATATTAAAAGCAAAAGAATCTATTTTTACCTGTTCCTAGGACACATGTTTATTTTTATTGGAGCACCAAACAGGAAATTAATTATTATCAAATGGAAAGTTTTGGTGTTTTTTTTTTTTTTTTTTGAGTTGGAAGTCTCACTCTTTAGCCCAGACTGGAGTGCAGTGGCCGCTCCCGGCCACCGCAGTCTTGACCTGCTGGGCTCCGGCGATCCTTCCACCTCAGCCTTCCAAGTAGCCGGAATTACAGGTGTGCGCTACCACGCCAGGCTAATTTTTTTGTTTATTGTAGAGATGAGGTCTCGCCTGCCCAGGTGGGTCTCGAACCCGCGGGCTCAGGCAATCCACTCACCTCAGCTTCTCAAAGGAGCAGGATAACAGGCTGAGCCACCGAGCCCGACTTGGTGTTTTTTTTAAATTTAGAGATGAGGTCTTGCCAAAGTTGCCCAGGCTGGTCTCGAACCTGTGGGCTCAGGCAATCCTCTCACCTCAACCTGCCAAAGTGCTGGAATTATAGGCATGAGCCACCACATCTGGGCTGATTTTTTTTTTTGATGTTGCGTCGTAGTCTCACTCTGTCACTCAGGTTGGAGTGCAGTGACACACTCATGGCCACCAGTCTTGACCTGCTTCAGCCTTCCAAGTAGCTGGAACTACAGGTGCATGCCACCATGCCTGGCTAATTTTTCTTGATTTATGGCAGAGACAAGGTCTCACCAAGTTGCCCAGGCTGGTCTTGAACCCCTAGGCTCAGGTGATCCTCTTGCCGAGGCCTCCCAAAGCACTGGGATTACAAGCCTAACATGCCCTGTCCACAAAGATATTAATGTAACAGTTTTTTTTTAAATTTGAGAACACTCTATCCATTTACAATAAAATAGCAACACAATAGTTTCTTTCTGGCTGACCAACAGGATGTTTATTAAACTACTGCCAAGTATATAATTTTACAGCAATAGGAGAAACTGAGCCCCTATATCCTAATCTTAGAATTATATTCTAGATTATCAAGTGCTAGGCAGGACTGATCCATTAGAACTGTCTGTGATGAGAAACATGTTCCATAATCTATGCCATCATTTTTTTTTTAAGTCAGATATTCACTGTCGCCCAGGCTGGAGTACAGTGGCACGCTCACAGCCACCACAGCCTTGACCTGCTGGACTCAGGCGATTCTTCCACCTCAGCCTTCCAGGTAGTTGGAAGCACAGGCATGCACCACCACATCTGGCTAATTTTTTTTTATTTATTGTAGAGATGAGGTCTTGCTATGTTGCTCAGGCTGGTCTCAAACCCCTGAGCTCAGGTAATCCTCTCACCTCTGCCTCCCAAAGTGCTGGGATTACGGGCTTGAGCCACCACACCTGGCAATGAAGTCATATTTTTAAAAAGACATTTTTATTTTTTATTATTATTATTTTTTCAGTTGGAGTCTCACTCTGTCGCCCAGGCTGGAATGCAGTGGCACGCTCCTGGTCACCACAAAAAAGACATTTTAAATATGTAGGAGGAAATTATGTGTTTAGCAGAGGCTCAAGTACCAACACAAAGAGAAGAAAATATCAAAGCTGACTCCTGAATGACTGGAGAGTCACCTAGTCAGCAATTTATCTTGTGGTCATTTTTTTCCTAAGATAAATATCATAGATGATTTGTACCCTTTAACTTTCTAAAAATGTGTTCTGTCTCCCTCTCATATGCTATCCAATAGTGCTACTCAGCATTTCCAACCAAGGCGGTTCTTAACAGGTTGGGAAGCAGTATGTAAAGTCAAGAATAGAATATTAAGACTGAGGTTTTAGATAATTTCTGATTTGTTTTATATACTATTTCTGTGTGCTTTATTTCCCTGGATAATAAAAACTGAACTTACATAAACAATGAGGAGGCTGGGTGCGGTGGCTCACACCTGTACTCCCAGCACTTTGAGAGGCACAGGCGAGAGAACTGCCTGAGCTCAGGGGCTCGAGACTAGCCTTGGGCAACCTGGTGAGACCTTGTCTTTTCAATAAATAAAAAAACTAGCCAGGCATATAGTGCACATCTGTGGCTAGCTACCATGAAGGCTGAGGCAGAAGGTTGCCTAAGCCCAGCAGGCTGAGTCTGCAGTAGCCATGAGTGTGCCACTGCTCTCCAGCCTGGGCAACAGAGTGAGAAGACGACTCAAAAAAAAAAGAATGAGGAATTACCCTGCTAAAAGGCACTGGGTAACCAAGAACAAAGGCACAGAATAACTTTTCTGAGCCTGTTTTCCCATCCGTAAAATACGAAGATTATCACATGCTTTGCCAGTTGCCTCATAGGATTCTCATGAGACTCAAAACATAATAGTACCTTCAAATATTTGTTACTTTTTTTTCTAAAATCAATGGTAACATTTAGAACCTTCAAATATTTTGAATGCATAATTATTATAAAGCAATTAAAGGTGCTGGAATCTAGGTTCAAATCTGAGCAAGTTATTCTTAAATATACTGTTTATTATTATTATTTTTATTTTTGAATCAGGGTCTCACTGTCACCCAGACTGGAGTACAGTAGCATGATCACGGCTCACAGCAGCCTTGAACTCCTGGGCTCAAGTGAAGTTCCCACCTCAGCCTCCTGAGTAACTAGGACTACAGGTGTTTGCCACCACCTCCAGCGAATTTTTAAATTTTGTTTGAGATAGGGTCTTACAATATTGCCTAAGCTGGTCTTGAACTCCTAAGCTCAAGCAATCTTCCTGCTTTGGGCTCCTAAAATGCTGGCATTATAGGCATAAGCCTCTGTGCCTGGCTGAGCAAGTTAGTCTATTCCTCAATTTTTTCATCTGTAAAGTAAATATAAGCTGGGCACGGTGGCTCAAGTCTATAATCCCAGTACTTTGGGAGGCCGAGGCGAGAGGATTGGGAAGCCAAGGCGAGAGGATTGCCTAAGCTCGGGGGTTCGAGACCAGCCTGGGCAACTTGGTGAGACCTCGTCTCTACAATAAATCAAAAAATAAGCTGGAGTGCTAGCACGTGCCTGTAGTTCCAGCTACTTGGAAAGCTGAAGCAGAAGGATAGCCTGAGCCCAGCAGGTCAGTGAGCATGCCACTGCACTCCAGCCTGGGTAACAGAGTGAAATTCCAACTAAAAAAAAAACAAGTGAATATAATAGTATCTCCCTTACTAGTTTCTTTGAGCATTGAGTGAGTTAATATACTAAAGGGCTAATGTAGCTCAATAACTGTTAGCTATTATCAAATGTTACAACTCACATCATTTATAATCTTGAGAGTAACAATACCTTTTACACCTGCCCAAATTTAAGGAAAATAATGCCATACAAGTATTGTCTACATGCAGAAAGTAAATGCATCTTAGTAATTAGTATGAAACTAAAAGCACAAAAACCACACAAAAACAATTTTTATCAATCTCATAAAAATTACTGCAGTAAAGCTTTAACAGAAGAGCAAATGAATAAACATAAAATGTAGATTGGGTCCTTGTCAAAGGCAACAATGAATCTTTGGTAGTTTTATTGCTTTATTTATTTTTATTTTTTTTATTTTTGTTTGAGTTGAGTCTCACTCTGTCGCCGAGAATGGAGGGCAGTGGCCGCTCCCAGCCACCACAGCCTCAACCTGCTGGGCTCCGGCGATCCTTCCGCTTCAACCTTCCAAGTAGCTGGGACTACAGGCACACGCTACTACACCTGGCTAATTTTTTTGATTTATTGTAGAGATGAGGTCTCATCAAGTTGCCCAGGTGGGTTTCGAACCCGCGGGCTCAGGCAATCCACTCACCTCAACCTCCCAAGGTGCGGGATTACAGGCTGAGCCACAGAGCCTAGCTAGTTTTACTGCTTTAAACTTTAAAAAGAAAGCAAGGGCAAAAATGGCTGCCTCCTGGTTCTCTCTGCCACTAAGTGGATCATTTTACTTCTCCCACATGGCAATTACCAATTACATTGTAAACTCTGTAAGCACAGAGACATTCTGCATTGCCAAATACCCAGGAATTTGATCAGTGCCTGGTTTAATAGCCATTTCTTAGTTAATTATTCCATATAAATTAATGATTTCTGTATTTTCTAAAACAAACATCAGTTTAGATCCTTGACATGGACTTCAAAGTTTTCTACCATCCTCATCTTCAATTACTAATCAGAGACTCAAGAATTGAAGGGGTTTCAAAAAATCATCTGATTTGGTATATTAATGTTCAAAGATCTTCAAAATTAGAAATTCCACAAGCAACTAAATAACTCCCATTCAGTAGGTACCTATTTATTGGGCAATTACTAAAGAACCTTAGTTACTTAGAAGGAAAACAACTGTTGGGTGCAGTGGCTCTGCCTGTAATCCAAGCACTTTGGGAGGTGGAGGCAAGAGGATTGCCTGAGCCTGCAGGCTTGAAATCAGTCTGGGCAACATGGCAAGACCTCGTCTCTACAAAAAATCAAAAAATTAGTTGGGCATGGTGGTGCACATCTGTAGTTCTAGCTACTTGGAAGACTGAAGAGGAAAGATTACCTGAGCCCACCAGGTCGAGGTTGCAGTGGCTGTGAGCTGCATGCCACCGCATTTCAAACTGGGTGACAAAGT